CATCACACCATAAGAGAACAGGAGCCTGTGTGTCTGTGCCCCTGTGTGTCTCTGGTCACATTTCTTCTCCTTATAAACTGACCCAAAGTCATTTATAGGGACCCTGACTCAATGACCTTAATCCTAATCTCCTCCCCAACACCCCACATTTCTACTCCATAGTCAGATCAGTTTTTCACCTTCTTTTTTTTTTTTTTTTTTTTTGAGAGATTTTCACTGTAGGGCACGTGCGCTCGCCAGACAGACAGAGAGAGACATAGAGACCGAAAGCGAGAAATCACCCCCCAGGGGGGATGGTCACGCCGCAATCCCTTCTCCTCCATTCTCCTCTCAGGATCTTGGGCACGCACGCTCACGCGCCCGGCGTGAGTTTTAAGCCACTGGGTCCGGGACGCGAACCGCGGTCGACTACGTGGGAGTCCAGCGACATAGCCATTATGCTAACTGCTGGTTCCCAGTTTTTCACCTTCTTAAGCTCATCACAACCAAATTTCAGCACATGAATGTCAAACAACAGCATTCACATACACACTTCACCCATATAAAGTGTGCAAAATTGATTGTTTTCTATTCACAGAGTCGTGCACTATCACCACAATCAATTTTAGGACATTTTCACCACCCCCCAAAGAAACCTCCATTCATTAGCAGTAACTCTGCAGGTGCCTCAGTCCCCTCAGACCTGAGTGACTACTTATCTGCCCTCTCTCTCCAACGAGCACACACACCCTCTGGTAAAACACACGACAGACATTATACTTCATGGGAAAATACTCAAAAGTTTTTCTTCAATATAAAAAAAGAGACAAGTACTCTCTCTACTTTTATTGAGCACTATATTAGAGGTTTTAGCTTATACAATAAAACAAGAAAATCAAAGTTGTAAGGACAGGAAAAGAAGAATTTAAACTGTATTATTCACAGATCATGTGGCCGTAAAATAAAAATGCCAAAATAATGTATAAATTTTTAGAATGTATTTGCAAAAATATGCATGCAAAGTCAATGTACAAAAATCAACTCCATACTCTAGCAAAAAAAAAAGGAGGAGGGAATAAGAGATAGTATTTATTGTAATTAAAGATGATCAAATTATCAAATGAGTTTTCAAGGAATAGATTCATGTCACCTCACAGGTGAGAACCATGGCTGAGATGCTTGCTGAGGCAAAGGGAATACAGAATGAGTACTGGAAGCAGGTAGTTACAAAGAGCCAGTGGGAGGAGCCAGCAGATGGCACGGTGGTTAAAGGTCTGGACTCCCACATGGAGAACCACAGTTCAAGTCTGAGACCTGGCAGCTTGCTTTCTCACTCTTCCTCTTGAACACTCTCTCTCTCTCTCTCTCTCTTTCTCTCTCTCTGTCTCACTCTGGTCAAATTGAATAAAAATAATGAAACAAATAAATGTAAATAATTTAAAAAAAATCACCAGTAGATGGCATGGTGATTAAGGCAATGGACCTTCACATGGCTGACTACAGTTCAAGTCCCGGACCTGGGTGACTTGCTTTCCCACTTTCTCTCTATCTCTCTCTGTTGAGCACATGTGCCCTGTAGTAAATTTAATAATAGTAATGATAAATAAAATTAAATAATTCTTTAAAAAAATAAAACCTATTCAGGCCAAGACTACAAAAATGAAGATGATAAAAATATAGGAAAATCAAAAATAATTATAAAATGTCATCTCTTCATCTAGATTTCTTAGAGGAAAGAGGGATAGGAGAAACCAAAAAGCCTAAAGAATGTCTGAAAATATTTCTCTTCCCCACTAGGTTTATTTAAGCTCCGATCTGCTGCTCCCAGTCAGCACTTTAGCTCTCACCAGTGAACTTCACAGATGACAGAAAGCACCTTCACCACTCTTTTCCCAGCACTCAGACTAATCCCTGTGACTCTCCCAGCTGAAGGACATGTTGGTGTTGGCTGTTCGTTCAGCCGTGTTATTTCCAGTCACTGGATCATATTAAGCTGAAATCAAAACCAAACACATGTTTCTCTAAGAAACAGACCGCCAAAGCTTTCACTCTAATACCGGCCGTTTCTCTCCCAGCGGTCCAGGTGCTCCAGTAGTTTAGAGAGACTGACCAAAAAATGTGTGGTCCAGACTACAGATCATTTTAGAAGAATTTCTTTGTGATTGGTGGTGGTGGAAGTGGTACTAGTAATCGTGTGTGTATGTGTGTGTGTGTGTGTGTGCTTTTGAAACAGATGTAGAAAAGTTCATGTGATGTTCTGCTCTTATTTTAAGAAATGATTACCATTGTAAATTCATGTAACAGACACCATGGTCTCTTCTGAGCAGTCACAAATTTCCTGCTGGTGGGAGATGGACAGGTGGTTTCTGGTAGTCAAAGGGAATATTCAAAAGTATCATGTATATTTTTGGGGACCAGCAGTTAGCGTATTGGCTATGTTGCGGAACTCCCATGTAGGAGACCGCAGTTCGAGTCCTGGACCTGGTGGCTTAAATTCATGCTGGGCACGTGTGCATGCATGCCCAAGATCCCGAGAGGAGAATGTAAGAGAAGGGATTGCAGTGTGGCCATCCCTCTGAGGGGTGATTTCTCGCTTTCTGTCTCTCTGTCTCTCTCTGTCCTTCTGGAAAGTGCACATGCCCTATAGCAAAAACCTCTCCAAAAAAATAAAAGTATCATGTATATTTTTTCATTGAAATATGCATTAAAATAGGCAACAAATAATATTTGTTAATTAAAACTATAGAAGTAGCTACTACAGTGAATTTAGATACAAGTTTTTGGCACTTACAATTATGTCTCCCAAGAAACTATGCAGTCTAGAATACTAATGTTTTCCTATTCATTTTATTTCTATAAGATGTATTTATGCATGTGTTTATACATGTATGCATACACATATTCTTTATCATATCAAATTACTATGCCTGCTTGTTGCTGTTTCCTTGAGCCTTTTAGTAGATGACATGGGACCAGCAGTTGGCGTAATGGCTATGTCGCTGGACTCCCATAGAGTAAACACAGTTTGAGTCCCGGACCTGGCTTAAACTCACGCCGAGTGTGTGTGCGTGTGTGCCCAAGATCCCGAGAGGAGAATGGAGGAGAAGGGATTGCGGCGTGGCCATGCCCCCAAGGGGGGGATTTCTCGCTTTCTGTTCTCTGTCTCTTTCTCTTTCTAACAAGCGCACATGCCCTATAGCAGAAACCTCTCCCCACTCCCCCAAAGAAGAAAATAAATAACTTATATTTTTCAATACATTCATTTATACATGGTGGTTTTTTTATTCACTCAGAAAACTGCATTTATTTTGAAAACTCTAATTTTACACACTTTTACTAGAATCATATGCACCAGCGTCCCAGAGAATAGGGACTAATTTCAGAAAACACAAAAAAGGTATATCTGGATGGCTAAGGAACAAATTTCAAATATCTATTATCTGTACATGGGATTATTTGCTATTTGACAATGTTTTTTTACTGTTTACTATACTGTCATAGCTATTTTGAAATGTACTCAAATACTCCCTACTCAAAGCATGGTCCCTGGACCAGCAGCATTTGGCAGCATTGTTAGAAACAAAGGATTAGAATCTGCATTTTAACAAAAGACCCAGGTGACTCATACGTAATTTAGTTTGATTTAGCACCTCTCTCCTGGGAAAAGGGCATGAATTCAACTGGGGACATAGGCAATGTTGGGTCAGGAAACAAAAGTGACAGTGAACAAGCCATTTTCACAGGATCTCTTCCTTAGTCAAACTTGCAATGCCTGGCTTTTTTCTCAGGATGAATTCTCCCTGGGGATGTTGCCTCGCCCCTCACTGCCACTTCTTCAACAGGACACGGTTTAGGCTCCAAGCAGGAATCCTCCAGACTTAGGGGAAATCTTCCACCATACTCACAAGGAAAATATGTTTGTACTTAATCAACATTGACTCAATACATACCATTTACCAAACATTCCACTGGAGTCCGTAAGAGTACCAAGATAAGTTAAACCACCTCTGCCCTCAGGGGAGGTCAAGATGGAAGATGTATGTTGGGGTAGGTAAGGACCTTTGAAAACAGGTTGAGGAAGAAGCTAAAAAGTTCCCAGCAAAGATTTATTGCAGTTTTTGACAAACTATCACCTATTCCACCTACAACCTGTGTTCTCCAGGTAGAATGCCCTTCCATTTCCATTTCTCTACATTCTTGCCCACTTTCCAGGGCCAATTTTTAAAAAGTGCTTATTTGATTCTACTTATTGTTATTATTTTTCAAATTTGACCAAAGAGAGGCAGAGAAAGTGACAAAGCAAGCCACCAGGTCCAGGACTCAAACTGCAGTTGATCACGTGGAAGTCCAGTGCTTTTACCACATGCCACCTGCTGGCCCCTCCAAGGCCAATTTTAAGTGCTGACTTGCCAATAAAATCTGCCCTAATTCCCTTCAATTAACCTGACTTTTGACACTTCAGAGCTTCTAGTATATCCTACTTAATGATCAATTGTATGTTGAGGCCTTATGGGGAACAGGAGAGTATGAGAGTGTTAGGGTCCTTTATAGGCATAGAACATATTTTATCCAATCTTCTTAGATTTATCATGGAAACTACTATGTTGTATCATAATAGATTTAAAGAAAAAAGGAGGGGGTGGCAGGTGGTGAAGTGGTTAAGGTGCTGCTGGACTCCCACCTGGCCAACCATTGTTCGAGTCCCAGACCGGGCAGCTTGCTTTCTCATTTTCCCTTTCTCTCACTCTCTCTGTCTCTTTGGTCACATTTTAAATAATAATAATAATAATAATAAATAACAACAAATAAAATTAAATAAATTTTTTTAAAGGAAAAGGGAGAAATTAAATCAACTGCATCTATTCTATTAATGAGTCACTTTCCAGGAGGTATATAGGCCTTCTCGAATCAAAGAGAAGATGAGAGACAATACTGAACACTGGCTGAGATAGGTAGAAGGATTAACCACCCTCCTGCTTTTTATCTCCACCATTTTCTCTGGTCAGGTTAGTTCTTTCATCAGGAAACAATGTTCTCATTGGTAGATTAGTAGCAGTTAATCTCAGCTGGATGGAATTTCATCTTGTTATTTTTGAGAAGTGATTGAACTGGCTGTATGCCTGTTGGTATTTAAGCAGTTCCTCAGCTTAGTGGGTAGCACTTTTTATGGCTGGATTTCCCTAAAACTAAGATGGATTACAAAGCCCAGGGCCCCTTCCCTGAAGAGTGCAGAGTTGCTATTAACAGAGTAGCATCTTATGAGCTGCATGTCAGTGATGCTTATTTATCCATGGTTAGTATGGGTTCTGGAGTAACTGTAAGGAGGGCCTTAGCTCTGATTTGGGTGATGATGTAGATTCTGTCTCCTGGGTAAAGGTGATGGCCATGTGTGTGTTCAGATGGAAACTGAAACAGCAACTTAGTTGCTAGGATATCACTGTTCTGCGGCCCAATGATATAGAGCTGTAATGGCAAATTATAGTCTCTGATGGGGAGAACCAGTTATTTCCAGAGGGTTGCCAAAACTTCATGGGATCAAACATTGCTGCCAAACTGAATAAACAATTTTTTATGCTTATGTGTTATTTTATAATTAATGTAGATGTGTTAGGATTGATGAAATAGTCTTAAAAATATCGATGTATTCTGAACTTCTATCATGTGTCTACACAATGGATTTAGTAACGTGTAGGTTCATAAATCTGACCCTTAAAGAGGCCATAATATCCTAAGAGTAGGTTCCAGCATCCTGAACTCTGGGTGCCTGCTCTTTGAGGTAGCCTGGGTTGAGAGAGACAGCCAGGGCCTTTTTCCAAGAACAAACAGAGCACCCAAGACAGACCAAAGAAGGCCTCTTTCTGGACAAGCACTGAGATGACAAAGTGAGTTTATGTGAGATTTTGGTCTTAAAATTTAGCTTCTCTCATTCCCAATTCTCACCTCTGTGCCAGGCCTGTTATTACGATGAAGAGATAGGAATGCCTTCTTTTGTCACCTTCTTCAAGGAGCAGGCTGAGGTGAAAAGGGAGCATGCGAAGCAGTTCCTGAGGTATCTAAGAAAGCGTGAGGGGATTATCTGTCTTCCAACCATTAAGGTAAGAGGGTAATTGTTACCATGATGCTCATGGGGCTTTGCCAGGTCTAGGGAATCCAGATAATTAGATGCTACCTAACTTGTTACATTACTCACATTACCTCCTAGTGGACTTCTTGGCAAATGGCTTTGAGGGCAAGTATGTGTCAACATCACTTGGGGTGAATTTTAGCCACTAAATGCTTGTTTGGCTTTTCTCAATGAGCTACGCCAAGTGTGGTCTCTGGACCAGCAGCACTAGGAGCACCTGGGCAATCATTAGAGATGGAAATGCATGGACGCCATCTACACCTACCAAGTCAGAGTCTCTGAGAATGGGGCCCAAGAAGCCATTAATATTATTTTGACAAAGTCTCCAGACTATGCTAATGCTTTGTATAGATCAAAATGCGCTACTATAGGGACTGTTCCCCAGAGATGTTAGCACCCTATTTCAGATCATTAATCTAATTCAGATACACATACTTACTATGGCTCTCATCACTGTAATGAAACAAACTCTTTTGTTTGTTTCACTGATGCAAAAACAATATGCACCTTAGAAGAAGGTGCTAAGACAATCTGAACCTTAGTTGGGAGTATTATATCCAGGAACATCCCTACGTATCTAAAGACGGTTGGTTGTTTTTGTTTTTGCTTTTGTTTTTCAAACTCAAGATTTATAAAAGGCAGTAAATGTCTGCTAATAACAAAATAGAAATATCACAGAATTCCGAAGGTACTAGAATAACTGTACATATAGCTGTGCTAGAGGTACCCTTTCTTTGTAGTATATTAAATATAATAATGTAACACCCTGGCATAAAACTTCTTGGGCCACCTGGGGAGCTTTTAAAAATCCTGATACTGGGGTCAGCTGGTGGTTTTATGGTTAAGACACTAGACTCCCACTTGATGGACCAAGGTTTTAGTTCCAGGTCTGGCGGCTTTCTTTCTGTCTGGTAAGCACACAGGCCCTCTAGCAAATTTTTAAAAATAGTAGCAGATAAAGTTAAATAATTCTTTTTTAAAAAATGCTGATACTCACATTGCACCTCATACCAATTAAGTCAGAGTGTCTGCAATTGAGCCAGGCATCAGAATTTAAGATCCTCAGCTGATTCCATCATGCTGCAACGTGTGGAAATTATTGGACTATGCAAACCTAGTTGCCTTATCTAGAAAGTAGGATGCAAGAAAACTGTGTCTGAGGAAGGAAAGTGACTTTCCTGTTCCTCTCCAACAGAGGCCTGACATAGATAACTGGGGAAGTGGGAGGCAAGCCCTAGAGTCTGCTCTGCAGTTGGAGAACGAACTAAGCAAGGTCCTACAAGATCTGAAGATCTCTGCTTCTGAGAATAGTGAAAGGGACGTAAGTAATTAACTGGTTCTGACAAGTAGTGTTATCTTTCACTTCTGGATTATGATTCGTTTCTGGAAAATGGAACCAAGCAGTGGTTTACCCAACATGTGCTTATTTCCCTCCCGGGGAATATGGACCTTATTTCTGGGAGTGGGTTGAGGGTGAGGGAACAAGTGTTCTGGTAAGAAAGAAGAAGATTCAACACAAGATGAAAAAGTCTTTGCCAGAGTAATGTGCTCAAAACAATTCAATAAAATAATGGTTCTGTTGCTGATTTGTAAATCTCTTAGGCCAAAATTGCTTAACCTGTCTTGGACATCAGAATCACTGGAAGGTTACTATAACTAATTTCTGGGCCCCACATCTGGTTTTCTGTTCAGTTGGTTTTGTAGGGGGTCTAAGATTGAAATTTTCTAACAGGTTCACACATGATGATAATGCTGACGGCAGGGTGGGAGGGCACGAGGGAAACATGGAGAGCCTCTGTCCCAGACTTACTGCAAATGCAGATGTTAGCAATGACCTATTAAAGAACAGACTCCTCTGAAGTCTCCTGTTATTAGTGAACACCCTACTTTGAAGTGGTAACTTCTTCCTCACCAAATTTCTAGCCTCTATGAAAGTCAAAGTGAAGAAAATACCCTGCATAAAAGTTCTTGGGCCAGCTGGTGGCATGGTGATTAAGGCAGCTGGATGCCACATGACCATCTACACAGTCTGCGTCCTGGACGCCACGGGCACATGTGCATGCATGCCCCAAATCCTGAAATGAAGGAAACAGGAATGCAGCATGACCCTTCCCCACAGTGAGGGAGGGGAAGAGGGGCTTTCTCTTTTCCCCCTCTCTCTGGCAGAGCACATAGCGCTCTCTAGCAACAGCCACATTTTACTCCAGGAGCATACTGGACCTAATCAGGAGCTCTGAAGTACAAATGCCTGAGCTTTATGCCAAATCATAAATATCCAGTTACTGAAAATCTCCATGTGCTTCAAATAAACAAGATTGAAAATCATTGTAGTAGCAGCAGCAGCAGCAGCAGCATTACTTAATGTAATCTGTGCTTTTGATGAGCCGCCCTAACACTGATGCTCGTTAAAAGTGAATGCTTGTATCCACCTGGTGTCCTTGACTGTAGCAGACCAGTTCTCTTGGAACTTCAGTATGTGTATAAATTACCTGGCCCCTTCTTAAAATGCAGATGCTGATTTCGTAGGTCTAGGGAGGAAACTGAGATTTTGTATTTCTGAGGACTGAGGGTTCATGGACTCTAATTTGGAGATTGCCTCTCATTGCAGACATGGTTGTTAATGTGGGTTTTTCCCGGGTTTATTTCTATTATTTTAGCTCTTTGACTTCGTTGAGAAGTTCCTGGATGAACAGATAAGGAACATAGGTTATCTGGAATACCATCTTGTTCATGAAAAGAAATTAGAAGAGCTTGCCCAGCAAGAAGACCTGTATGAAAAGCCTGCTACAACATCAGGTGAAGAAGCTTAACTTCTAAAGTCAGTGCAGCAAGTCATTCCGTTGTAGTTGGTCCTAAGTCAGCTATGTAAATGTTTTCATCATTCTATTTGCCCAAAGACTGTCTTCCCTTTTATCCAGTTTCCTAATCCTTATTGCCATGCATACCAATAAATCTTTGCATTACAATTACACACATAGAGAGAGTTATTGGAGTACTGGAAAGATTAGTTCTACCAATGTGGGATTGGTGAAAGCTGCCTGAGGGACAGTGAGCTGTGCACTGGAGAAAAATAAGTCTTCTCCTTCCCTCCACTATGGCCCCCCAAACACCTAGATGACGGCATCAGAATTTGGTAAATTCAAACAGTGCAAGTGGCTACTGTAGAAATTAAGTTAAATGATGAATCTTTAAGTCTCAATAATGCTCCTTTTCATTCATATGCATACTTTAAATTCACAAAACAGTAGGATTTTTTCAAATTAGATGCAAAGCTAAGTTTTGTTTTGTGTGTGTGTGTGTGTTTGTTGTTTTTTGGTTTTTGAGGGTTTTTTTAGGAGAGATTTTTGCTCTAGGGTACATGTGCTTGTTGGAAAGACAGAAAGTGAGAAATCACCCCCCACGCCAGTGGTGATAGCCATGCCACAATCCCTTCTCTTCCATTCTCCTGTCAGGATTTTGGGCACACACGTGCAGCATGAGTTTTAAGGCTCCAGGTCCAGGACTCAAACCGTGATCAACCACATGGGAGTCCAATGATGTAACCATTATGCCATCTACTAGTCCCACAAAGCTAAGTTTAAAGACAAGTTATTAATCTAGAAAAAGACAGACTGTCACCTGCACTGGATGAGCAGCTGTAACCCGGGTACCTCTTCATAGCCACAGATAGGTGTAGCCAACAGGAGGATACCCAGAGGCAGTTAAGACACTGCAGCTATGTGTGTGGAAGCTCCCACCACTGTGAGCCAACTGGCACGTGGCAAAGTAATCACTTTCCAGAGCAAACAGTGAGTATGCAAACTTATGTAGGACTTCTCAAGGCCTCGTGTAAACAGTATACCTGGGAAGAAATGAGGGTTCTATGAGATTGCGTCTTGGCTCCAAACCTGACTGCGTTTATGGTTTGTAGTGAGTTTTTACCTCTTCATGGCTTTGGTTTATTCATCTCTAAAGTGGTTTATAGTGCTTACTTCATAAAGTTAACAAGAGGATTAAGTAATTAGTACTTATAAAGTATCTGGAGTAGTGCCTACTCAGATTATGCATTGTTACATAATAGATGGTGCCACTTCTTCAGCTTGAGGAAAGTCAATACATAACAGAACTTCCAAGGAAACAGGACACTAAAATTGAGGGAGAATCTTAAAACATTTAATATTTTAAATAGAATGGAGTATCTTCTCCAAAACAAAAAGTGGTCATAAAATTGACCCTATTACATATTGTGGGAAAAGTTCAAGTTTACAAATGAGCTGACTCTTCAAATAAACTAATCAAACAAGTGATCTAGAATTAATCTCAGAAATGTTCAGCCAAAGGAAAAAGTAGATAGTACTTTACATGTTAAGAATTGGAGTTTCAGGGACCAACAGTTGGCCTAATGGCTATGTCGCTGGACTCCCATGTAGTCGACCGTGGTTCGAGTCCCAGACCCGGTGGCTTAAACTCACATGGGGCATGTGTGCATGTGTGCCCAAGATCCTGAAAGGAGAAAGGAGGAGAAGGGATTGTGGTGTGGCCATCCACCTTGGGGGGTGATATCTGCTTTCTATCTCTGTCTTTCCGGCAAGCGCACATGCCCTATGGCAAAAACCTCTCCAAAAAAAAAAAGAAAAAAAGGAAAAAGAGTTGGAAATTGGAGTTCTGGGAAGAAAGAGAAATTGAGAAAAAATTAGAGCCATAGTAATAAAATTTTAAGCATCAAAGATGGAAAAATCTCCCCATAAAAGACCGCTTATAAAGACATCAGTGACAGATTAATAACAGCTTTCTCCTCAACACTAGCTACAAAACAGAAAATGGAAGAACATCTTTAAAATGCTGAGGAAAGAAATCAGTAACAAAACAAGGGCAGAACAGACCTATACAGTAATCAGGAAAGCTTACCAAAGGTTAAGAGCTACAGAAGATCCGCGCTGTGAACAATTAATGTTTTACTAGCAAAGCATAAGGACATTGGCATCTATATGTAGGTCCAATGTACCCTGGCTTATGTTAACTAATGCTTTAGTAATTCCAGTGGGGAAGGGCATGTCTCTGAGTGCTCATCAACCATGTAGTGCACTTCTTCACTTTCCCATTTATATCAGTACTTTTTCTACAATTCACCCTTCCTGAGAATAACTGCCATGGTGAGTTGCCACTATTGGACAAACACTCTCAAGTAAATGCCCCACTTTACATCCCTTTATGTTCATTTATACATTTTAAAAAACCATTTATATCTATTTATCTTTATTTGTGAACATAATAGGTACTTCCATGACAACCAGGGCTAAAATAAGATTGCATTATCCTCTGAATTATAGGCTACAGTGCCCTATAGCCCTATTCTTAAACAGGGCTTCTCAACCTTGGCACTATTGACCTCGCTGTGGAGAGTCATCTGGTGCATTGTAAAATGTTTAGTAGCATTCGAGGCCTCCACTTGCTAGACAGCCCCTATCTCAGTTGTGACACTCAAAACATGTCTCCAGGCATTGCCAGATATCTCCTGAAAGACAGAGTCATCATGCTTGAGAACCACTGTTCTAGACAATGCAATAGAAAGCTATGGGAAGTGAAGATATATACATTTTTAAAGGACTGACTTATTTAATATAAAGATGGTAACTAGAACTCAAAACTCAAATAGTTTGGCACCTATATAAATAAAATGTTTCCTGAAAACAACTATAGCTTTAAATAAAGAAAGAGGGGAGAAACACCAAATATTATGAAGATTGTGATGTCTCTCAAGCCACTGAAAAGAACTGAAATTGTTTTATACTAATCCCAGCAGTATTTTTGAGGACTTAGACAATTTAGTACTAAAGAATTAATAAACTTTGATTCTAGGGAAAAAAAACATACATAAAACTTACTTAACTTCGTTAAGCGCTAAGAAATGCAAACCAGAACCATAATAAGGTCCCAGTACATTCTCATCTGGATAGCTAACATTAAGACAACTAATGGGGCCTAGAGGGGGTGTGGTGGTTAACTAATGGGGCCTAGAGGTGATGTGGTGGTTAAGGCACTGGACTCCCACATGGCTCACAGCTGTTCAAGTCCCAAACCAAGAGGCTTTAAACTCACACCAACCGTGCATGTGGGAGTGCCTTTAATCCCGAAAGGAGAATGGAAGAGAAGGGATTGTAGTGTGGCCAATCCGCCCCCCTCCCCCCGCCCCGGAGGGTGAACACTCACTTTCGGTCTCTGTCTCTCTTTGTCTCTCCAGTGAGCGAACATGCCCTAGAGCAAAAATCTCTCAAAAAAAAAAAAAAAAAAAAGAAAGAAAGAAAAAAGAAAAAAAGAAGACAGACAACTGGTAACACTGTAGGGTGGCAAGGTGATGAAATAACTGAAACTTTTACTGTTCATTAGAATGTAAAATGGCACAACTCTGTTTGGAAAAATGCTTGGTGGCATCTAATAAATAAAGCACACGCCTACATCATGAACCAGGAGTCCTGTCCATATACAAGAAAATTACAATTATAAAATTACTTGTACAAGAATGTCTCATTATACCTTTATTTTT